TATCTCAAATGCAAGCACAAAACAGTTGTCTTGAATGTGAGCCCCTGCTTTAAAAAAGGGATTTATAGTTCATTCCTTAAAACAAACTGCCATAGCCATAAAAACTTAGGTTAAAGGACACATGCCCTTCTTTTTAACTAGAGTCTAACAGTTACTATCACATTAGTACACAAACTGCTTCCCTCTCTGGTTTTTTTGGTAAGTCAAAAAAACCCAACCTGGTTATGGTGGTACACGTCTGTTATCCCAGTACGTTGAAGGCTGAGGTAGCAGGATTACAAATTTAATCCAGGCTGGGCAGTTTAACAATTTAACAAGACTGTCTTGTTAAATGAAAAGGACTGGATCTATAGCTCAGAAGGCCCAATTTCCAGTATTAACAGTCAGTGTATCTATCTTTCTTATCTGTCTGCTGTTTTGTAGATTGTTAACACCTCAGAATGCTTGTGGTTGAGCATGATACTGACATGCATACGAGAGCATTGTTCACGTAGAAGTCAGTTGGTACTTAGTAGCCTGAAGTATGAGTGCTAAATGACTAACGATAATAAATGTTCAGGTAGTGTTTCTTTTTTCCCAGAGTCTACCCTTACCTGTGTCGCGCCTTGAAGACTTTTGTCAAAGACCGGAAAGAGATCCCTCTTGCCAAGGATTTTTATGTTGCTTTCCAAGACCTACCTGCTAGACACAAGTAAGAAAAGAATCTATTAGTAGTATATAGGCACCTTCTATCCTAGTTGGTAATCAGAAAAGTTGGAAGGTTTGCCTAGATCTGTTTTTAGGTAGTGATTAATGTCACATAAATCACTTATACTTTGTGTGGCCTATGGTTTCATCTGCAAAGTCTTGGGAGGGGGCATTAATTTTTCTACCTATATCATACAAAAATATTTGTTGCTGAAAATTTTTCATAATTGATGGTAACAAGAATTGTGAAAAGAACACATACAAATTGATGCAGTAAAATGCCAGCAGGCGCCTGGGGAAGTTACTTAGGGATAGAATGCCTACTTACAAAGACTTGGATTTGATCCCTAGCTCCACAGAGTCAAAAAGGAAGAAAAGGTGGTGTTTTGCATATGTATTTTGTAGAAGTTTAGTCTAGAAAGTTTAATTTGGAAAAATGTGTTTTTAATGGGTATAAAGTGAAAATTACATGAAGCCTAAGCTCGTCGCATTTTTACAAAAGTTTAGGAGAGAATTAGAACTGTGATAAAATATGAAAAAAATGGTGGCAGCAATCTGTGACTCCTAGGGCATTTAAGTAAAAAGATAAAATTACTAGAAGAAATTGAGGTGATCTGTTGGAAAAGTTAAAGTGCCAAAAATTCTTTCATAAAATGACAATTATTTTATATAAAATGGGTAAGTGAAGGAAGTGTTTCAGAACTTTCGGAGTATAGAATTTTTTCTATAGAAACTTGGTTATAAAAGTAACTTACAGGGGCCGGGGAGATGGCTCAGTGGATAAGCACTTCCCTGGCAAGTGCAAGGGCCTGAGTTCAATCCCCGGTTCCACCAAAAAAAAAAAGTAATTTACAAAAAAACTAAGAAAAAAATGTATTTGTGCATGAAACAAAATAGTCATACTTTGATTTTTAAATCCATTGTAATTTTTGTTGGTTTTGCCACTCAAATCCTTTAAAATTTTTCAGTCTGAGT